AAAACCTCAATGCTCCTCAGGTGCTGCTGTTTTCACATGAGGAAAGGTGAACTAACCCTAAACCGTTCCCTGGCCTCATTCACACCTCGCCGCGCCTTCCCTTTCAAACGTCTCAAAGAAGCTGCCATTGGACCTCGCATGTTCGATAAGGCTCGACCCTCACTACAAGGGACCTGGCCACAGTCCACGCAAGAGTTCTATACGTCCCAACGACTCTAAAGCAAATGAAGCTGGCGCTCATCGTCTGACGGAAAGTGTTTGAAACTCCTAAAAGAGGTATCTTGTGTCATTTACCTAAATAGAATAAATCGATAAGTGAGAGAAAATGTTCGAATTTTATAAAAAGCCCAAAGATGTGCATAATGTAATGGTCTGTTTATATGGATTTTAGTCAAAAATATAGTGAGCACATACCTGTACATACTGATACTTTCTTAAAGCTACCGTCATAATTAAAAAAAATGTATTGAATTTCGTTTAACCGTTCAAAATAAGATTGAAAAATTGTTAAACATAACTAAAGCATAGAGATAATTTCACCAGATTAGGTTCTAGTTATTTCCATCTTGGATTCTTACAATATTCGAAAATTAGACTTGACTATGATTACTGTTTTGGTTAAAAAATAACAAATAAAGTCTCCATTCCCCACTTAAAGACACTATGTACAGGGTGATGAAGCAACAGAAACGAAAAAAAATAACAAATCAACACCTTGATGGGGTTATATATCACAGATATAAAGCGTAAGACTGACATAAATAGCCTTCATCCATCGTGAATATTTCCTTCAAGAAATCTCAACAAAACTCATTTCGTATTACAAAAGCAATGGGCAGACAACACCTAAAAGGAAATATCTGGTACCCATAAAGTATAAAATTGAATTAACTTATATTTTTTGGACCTTTTTTATGATTCTTTCAAATGGAAAACCACAATGGGTCTGGTAAGAAGTTTTAAGTATGTTATTATCGGTAGATAGAAACAATGGTAGATATTCCAGGTACTTTTCGTTCTGTTGCAGTACCTCTGCATCATAAACCATCGGTATGAACCACGGTGCACCTACGGAGGCATACTCGAGTTTTTTGACCTTGGTATAACCATACTCGAGATCGGACGCATGCAAAATTACCGGGAACGTATGACGCGTCGTGTCGTTGACGGTGTCGATGGGCCTCAGCTTGGACGCAAAAAGCGGTGGCGTGAGGCTGATGAAAGTTGTCTCAGAAGTCCTTTCCCCGTCCACCCACTTGGGTACGGCAAGCCTCGTGTAAATCTCCTCACCGTGTGCGGCATATGCTCGCTTATAAATGTCTGCTACAAAGCGACTGACATTCTCGATTCCATCCACCTCGTGTGAGTACAGGTGTTTAAGCCCGTCTGACGGTAGGTACTTCGCCCAGAGCTCATCGTGAATTTCGGTTCGGTGTATTTATTTGTGCGCAATAACCACCGAAAGCGCATTGGCGTAGTCTAACCCGAGGAAACCGGCGCGGATACCGTAAGTGGACCGCGCCGCCTGCCGCCCATGCAACGGCATCGAGAAAACGTCCTGCTCAACTTCCCACGTTAAAAGATTCAGATGAAAGCGTGAAATGATGGACTGATCGCAATACCATCCTCTCTGGGAACTATATGGTGGTATGTGTGTCTCCGTTAACTTTTTAGCCTTCTCGAGATATTCCCTGTATGCCCACACACGGGCTATTATAACACCAGAGTTGAGATGGCGATATGGGGATTGGTCAAAAGGCAAAACAAGCTTATGCTCAGGGTGTGCGGCCGCGTGCCCACGAACCTTTTCATAAACCACTTCATAGCTAACTCTACAATCCTCATGGTCAAAGTATGAATTCGGTGCCCAGCAACAATCCTCCGCTAGCGCTACGATCGGTGCCATCGCACGGTCTTGCCTAACAGCCAGTGCGTCCAGCTCCTCCGGCGTCGCGGCAGACTGCGCAATGAAACGATCGATAAAGAGATGAATGTCTACACCTGTAAAAACCGTGTCGGAATCCATTATAATGGCAACATCGTCCGGATTCAGCTGCGCATTCTTGATGGCACTTTCCGCGAAGTCGAGCTTAGATGAAAGCCCATTGAACGGCATTTGATAGCCGGCTACCATCACGGGAAACCCGCTTAGGTAGGCTGAGCCCACTGAATAGCAAAGCGTATCATCAATTTTATCACTCATAATGAAGATAATGACGCGAGGCCCTGTGGTTCGAACAAAGATATCCTGCAAGTCATCTTTGGAAAGTACCAAGGGTTCAGAGGAGATCGGTTTCGAATCACCAACGTAAAATAGCCAAAGGACTATGAAAAGTGTGCCGATTAATCCAACGATAGGCGACCGCCGGAGAAGAGCCCTAAAATTATTACTTTTACACTGCTTTTGTGTAAAGGGTTTTAATGGTATCATTGCTTTAGTCCACTTCTTTCCAAGGCTTTTATAAATATTATTTTTATGTCTATAAGTAAAGTGAATACAATGAAAGTTATCGCAGTATCTAAATTTCAAATGGGATAAAAATAGGGAGGGGATAAAAATAGAAAATAGCTATAGTAGAAGTTTGACAAATAGTCTGTGCATCGTCACACATTTAAAATTTTCCTAAAATGCTTCTCAGTCACAAATGATGTTTGTCAGTGAGTTCCTCCTACCTGGTGACACGTGCAGTGGCACCTCTCAAAGAGATCCTGAACTGAGATACGCACGAAAGGATAAAAAAAGGGACAACCCGCGGAGGCTAGAAAAGGCCGATGCGGATTCAGCCCAAGAGCATGAAAAATTTCCAGTACAAGCAGTGAAAGGAGGTCTAGTTGCACGATTGAAAAATTTGAAAAGGGTTCAAAGTGTGTACCGGTCCAACTAAACGCATCGCGATCTTTTCATCTTTGACACAAAGCTCCAGTGGGATTACTCCTTCTTCACAAGCAGCCCAGACGCTTCACAGAATTAAAAAATTTCACGTAAATCCAATGCTCGCGTCTCAGTTTCGTACCATGAAGCTGAGTTCTTGGAATAAAAAAAGCTGTCATTCTCTGAGTGACATCGTGAAGTACGCGTTCCAGTACACTGTGGCGGTCCTTTGTACAAATCTCATTCGAAACGACTATAATATCCTAGTTGTTTTTAGGTGGATCCTTTAGTGTATTGTAGTATTGCTCCTATTGAATAAAGACAAACACGTTTGAGAGAAGAGACGCATAAGGTGGTGTTTCAATATTTTAGAGAAACCTAACACATAAATTACTTCCTCAGATAGCTTTGAATTGTAGGAAAACACGGCAGCTCTCTTATTTTTACTTCCACATGATTAAGGAAAAATACAAGTATCGCTTTAAAGAATAAAACGCTATTGAATTCTTTACGCTATTTGTTCAACATTAATCACTATATTAAGACTTGATGGATGCTGCATGTCAACGACAGCATTCAACCCTTTTTAGCATTTGAAAACTACAAAATAGATTGAATTTTTTTCAATAAACAAGAAAACACAAAAATATTTACCTATTCATAGCGATGTTTTGCAAAAATACTCAATTGCCTCTTCAAAGGAACCGAATATCGGAGTTCCATCGTACAGCATCAAATTGAATGGAAGGGAGAAATCCTCAACGGTGAGCCCGTCGGCGTCTTTCATGCCGCCATACTTATCCGTCATACTGCGGAGGTCGGAAGTATAAACAAGAATCTGCTTCCCACGAGCTGCAGCATATCCGACTTCAAAGGCAGTTCCACAATCGGGCTCATGTGAGCGAAAAGGAGAGAGGTCCGCAATGATAGCATCAGACTCTTCGAGCAGGGCAATGTCGGCGTTACGGATGTTCAGAGCCCGAGAGACCTTATTATCCAACCAATTCATTGGGATTACCTGTTTTGGAGTCAAAAACTCCCCTCCCTTATTATAATAAGTAGCACCACAATCTGAACGAAAACCCTCTGGGCCAGAGATGTAAATTTTCTTCTGAGACATTATTTTCGTCTTATCGAATATGCTGTGTGCACTGGTGTTCAAAATTATACAATCAAAGATAGCGTGTTTCGCTAAAGGGATGCTGAAAACTGGAAAC